GGATTTCCTACTTAGAAATGTATGATGTCACCTCCACGCATGATGAGCATCTCTGGTGTGCAGCAAAGCTGCTGGAGCAGCTTTTTGAAGTTGTAGCATGACAGGCTTTTGGCAACTGCTTGGAACAAAGCTTCTCTGATGGTTGTTTGATTAAGCAAATCTGCTGTGGTAAATGTCTGAAGCCAAGCTGTTTCTGCAGCTGTTTCAGCCAGAGCTAGTCCTGCAGTTTTTGAAGAAAGAAGGCATTTGCAAAGAATGAAGGAGAGAGGTGGAAACAGAAAGAAGAAAGAAAGAAAAGGTTTTGAAACCTTTTAACTACATAAAGCATTAAAAACAGAAGTATGTTTGTTTTCAACCATCTTTGTAAAGCAAAACTATAATGCCATCTTGGGGTTTTGGTGATAGTGGTGATTATAATAAGCAGGATTCCTAAGGCTCTGTATATTTGTATAAAACATATTAAATGATAGGCTTTAAGAATGTCATTAAAGCTGCAAAGTCAAGTAATCCAAAGGCAGAAAATGCCAGAAGTCAGACTGTATGCAAACTTTACTCATCTCCCTGTGCAAATGCCTTTAGTTACATATCGACATAGGGATTTTTTTCTTCAAGATCCAAGCCTCAGTAAGCACTCAGGAGTGACAGGTAGGTTTTAAATGATATCAGATGTTTTGTTTTCTTGTCCTTGTTCAGTATGAGTCCCTCTGCCTTGTTTATTTCACAATATTAAAATTCTATCTGACAACAGAATGATTACTCTCCTCTTGATCTTTTCAGTGGTTCTTATCACCGTATTCTCCCAGTACCTCACAAATATGAATATGTTTACTTTCCTGATACACCTCTAGCAGTTAAAGTGATAGAGCTACTCCTGTTTTATTCAGAGAGAAGTATAAAACTGTGTAAGTTCAGGGTGCTTAGTTCAAGGTGCATGATCTTGAGACTTAATATAGCAATTTATTTATTTATTCAAGTTGTGATTCCTGCCAACTTCTCAAGCGTGCAACAGTTCTGTAAGGCAGATCATAGGAACTCAGGTGAGGCACTCAAAAAAAGAGGCACCACGTATGAAAAGCTTTTAGTGTAGACGACTTGCTAAGAATTACAGAGGGATTTTGAGAAAGAAGAAGGTGTATAGTGACATTGTTAAATAAATTAAGCAGATAAACAATGGTACAATTTAGAAGTGTGTCCACCTAAACACAAAGGGGCCAATATACAGTCTCCATGATTTTATAGCTTTATTTTTTCGATTTCCTAACTTCTGATCTCTTAGTTTGGAGTCTTAAAATTGTTCCATCATAGTTTTCTATGTGTAGATAAACTTCTCTTTTTTGATCCAAACTAGAAAATAAATCTCCCACATGTTCCATCTGTCATGCCTAAATGTGCAGGTTTTATCAATGGGTTAGGAAAATGTAGGTGCCCCACATAGTCTCCTGCCATTTAAGCTAACAGATTAACTAGGAATAGTATTTTCCATCCTCTATGTGAACTACAGAAAACTGATAGAACATTTTGATGGACAGTTTCCAGCATATTTTCTGACAGTCACTGGGTTGTTGAAGAAGATATGGGCTTGGGCTGCACTACAAGGTCCAGACTGAGTGCACATCCACAGGACACAGATGCTTGAATTTATTCCTGAAAAGCATAACCACTTCTGGCTCTAACAGTCATTGCCTCAGTCTTATTTTCTCCTTAATCTCAGTCCTCATTCCAGCTCCAATTCTCAGTACATTTCAGTTCCTTTCACTTGTTCCTTTCCTTTCTAGCTTTTAATCTGTTCTGTCTCTCCTGGCCCTTTTTCCTTCTCCACCATGGATTTCTCTGTAGACTGATGTCCAGCATCAATCCCTTCCTGAGACAGACTGGGTCCTTCAGTCTTCCTCACAGTTGCCAACACTTCAACAATTCTTCTTATTTCTTATTTATTTTTTTTTTCTTTCCTGCTGGCTCTGAATCTCTTCACTTCCTTTTCCATGTGCAGTTTACTGTCTCTGTCACCATAACTATCCCAGTTCCCTCTTCTTGCACTGTCTTTACTCTCTGGCATCCTGGTTCCTGTCTGCTCCTCATCTCTGGGCAGATCAGCTTTTTGAAAGCTCTGCTTTTAAATAGTGCAGCTTCCTCCTTCTTGCTTCCTGTTTGGAGTAGGTGGGAGAAATAGAGCTTCTGCGCTCCATCTTGGACTGTAGCCCAGTATGACGTAGAGCTGTAGCTGCAAGGAAAATCCTGCTCAGCCTCGTTCTGGAACATGTTCTATAATTACAGAATCTTTGAGAAATGCAACTGCTGACACCTGAGACTTCTTTACTGAGCATGTGTGAACTGATTTTGCTTTTTCTTTTCCCCAAAGGACTAGAACTTAGCCAAAATTCTGTTAAGAGGTGGAGGGAGGCACATCCTCGAAATACAGGCAAGGCGCTGCCAACATTTCAGCCCATTCTACAAGTTGTGGTAGCCTTAAGACATCTCAGCAGAACTCTGTTCGGTTTTTTATGAAGAAAATGACGTATTTTCCTTTTGCCTTGATCTCAGAAATGGCTGAGTTATTTGTTTCCAAAAAAAACAAATGCAGCCTGAGGCAGATGCTCAGTGTGGAAAATTTCAGTGCAAATAATTAAACTTTGGCTAAGTTACAAATAACTGAAAACAGTCTTATAATGCGAAATGTTGGACAACCTTGTGAGACGTGTGCATCCATGCCTGTCTATAATATAACATTCATTAAAATTTGAGGAAAAGAGCTATCTTCATGGTCATTAGAGAAAAACTCATGGCTCCTCTGTCATTACTATGTCAAGTTTCATACCAAAGCTGTTGTAGAAGGGTGCAATGAAGCTGCTTTGAAAGTTATGTCTTCATTTAAAAGGACATTATTTTATTTACGGTGAAATTGCTGCAATTATTGCCATACGGATAAGTCCAGCCATGAAGAGATTCTGAATCAGGTCTCACAAAATCAGGAAAGTGATTGAAAATGTGTGAGATTGAAAGAAACTCAGGGAAAACTGTTGATTTCTGCTACAGTTTCTGAACTTTAGAGGTGTTTTTGTACTATAATCAAGTACTTTTCTGTAACTGTACACGCAATTCACTTCACTTACATGTGAAGTGAACATTTACTTACGTCTATACTATGTTATGAAGTTAAACCAGAAGCAGAGACTTTAAGACGAATACCAAATATATTGCCAGTGTCAAGACTTTGGATTCAGAGACCCATACCATTGCTGGTGCCTTTTCCACTGCATTTATCAGGATTTAAGAGTCTGGGTACTGAGTGCTCAGCTGATGCACAGCCTCTGCTTGTCAAGCAAGTCTCTTACGTATTTGAGCTCTTTTCCCATTGATTTATCAACTGGGTTTGAATTCTGTGTTTTTCATACTACTTTAAAAATAGTAAGACAGTTACAGTGCATATTGTATACATTGACAATTGAAATACTATCAATATTGAAAATGAAGAAACGTGTTGAAGGCTCAGCACAGGGCAAACACAAAATATCACCTGAACTCTTCCTCTTTGGCAATCTTAGAATCATAGAATAGTTAGGGTTGGAGAGGACCTTAAGATCATCTAGTTCCAAGCCCCCTGCCATGGGGGTTACATAGCAGTGTATCAGTGGCTGGTACCAAGAAAAGATTCTAAATTCAAGACAGACCTTAAAAGCTCCAACAGTTACTGATAAATTTCACATAGGTCAAAGAGTCTATGACTGTAAATTAGAAAAAGATGGGGTTTTTTGAACTGAATTAATTTAAGCAAATCTTCTTTTTAGGAGACTTTTTTCAAAGTAATAATTGTGTGGAAGATCGGCTTGGATCACAAGGAAAGATTAAGAGATCCACACAGGTACACCTGAATCACCAAGTAGCAAGCATAATACAGTAATGGCGTAAAATCTTTGGAACATCTAAGTACCAGGACAGAGTAAGGATTGTTTACTGCTGTAAAGGAAACTATAACAAGAATGAGCAGATTTAAAATAAGTTAGAGACTACTACATATAAATGTTAGGGCAACATTTCCCTGATGATGAGATTCATGAAGATGTCTAGGAAACCAGTAGACACTCCGCTTCTTCAAACTTTTAAATTGAACAAAGCAATACACAAGCAGTTGTAGAGAGGTTACTGAAATTATTTGCTCTGATCCTTAATTAACAAAATTTTATTATTGAAATTCAGAAAATGTATTCTTTCTCTTCCTTTGCAGTGCTTAGTTAAGGTACATGTCTTTGCCTGACACATTGTGATTGATATGAGGTTAACTAGGTAGGGAAAACCTCTAATGGGATGGGGTGACAAAAGTAACATAACCAAGTAATTCTGAGAATCACTACATTTACTCCCAAATATTTGAATCATAGTACCATGTATTTCATCATCTACAGCCAGACAGAAGGTGACAGCTCCTCAGATGAGATACATCTCATTTAACTTTGGTTGGTTGAAACAGGCAGCCGCACCTGAGGTAGCCTCCTTAAGTTACCTTTACTGTCAAGGGAAAGTAATAAGAAAAGGAAAAGAAGTAAGCATATTGTGGAGCACAGTCCATTTCATCTAATGTAGATGTCTGAAATAAGGTAAAAGAATGACACTTGAGTTGAATATTTCTTGGTGTGGCCTGTAATGGCTTTCTAGGACAGTAGCTAAGGTGGGATGACAAAGGCTTGCTCATTTTTGTCTAGGGTGGACATCACAATAGGCTTCTTTGTCACATGTAAGACAAACTGATGAAAAGGTCTATGATAAGCGGAACTACACCAAACAGGTATTTTGGTGATTCTGTAAAATACAGTTGTTCAGCTCCTGAGTGGGATGGGAAAGGCAGGCTCCTGACATTCTAATTTGAAATATGTTTCTTGTGACAATGCAAAGTGACAACTACTATTTTTAAACTCCTCAGGTGTTTAGGCCTCGTTGCAGCTGTGTCCTGCTTGTGACTTAATTAGGGCCTCACCAGCTCTTTTCAGTGGTCCACCCCAGCCTGCTTTGAGCATGCCAGATAAGGGTGTACTGGCCCTGTGTTTTGTTTCTTGTCTGGTCCACTGCTTTCTTTTGTGCATGAAGAGAAGGATCCCAGCTGTCCTTATACCAGCTTGCACCATACTCTCCACTTAGGCAGAGGGTAAGTTTTCATGCTATAGCTAAGGGCCTTTATTGATGGCAGCTGCTGGAAAACATGGTCTTGCTTTGCTCTTCTCTCCCCCAGCCATTGTTACCAGATCTAAGTTGTGCAGCCTCAGTGTGACTGATGTGGCTGCCTGGCTCAGTGAGGAACTGTTTCTTTTTTTCCTTTTCAGGGTTATTTTCCCACAGGATCAGCCAATTGATCTGGCTCACCTTGCAGGTACACTATTAGGTACAATATGCAGGAAGCAGGGATAGTATCTGGCCATAGGCTAACTGGGGTACAGGACTTCTTCCACCCCTTCAGCTGCATTGCTGCATTGTCTTAGCTGCAATATAAAATGAGAATAACTTAACTATGGGCTGTTCATCAAGTCAGTTATTACTCTGTGTGAACAAGAGTATTTTCAGTGTATATATAATTTTCATTGGTATCAATCAGGATTGGTTTTGCTGCTCTATAAATGAGTTTATATTGTTAAGGAAAGCCTTGAAAACCACATGATATTTGATGTTAGAACATTCCGTTCAATATGTTTTAAAACATCTTGAGTTGCTGAAGCAATGGGTGTGATTTATAGCTGTGCTATCAGGTTATGTGATGCTTAACAGTGTCAGAGTGTGCAAAGTTTGTTTTTTGGTTTGGGTTATGTTTTTTTTTTTTTGGCAAGTAAGAGTGAAAAAACACAAAATGGTGGTTATCACATGAGTTGCAGCACTGTCCTTGCTGGTCTGGGCTAGTTCCAAGCAGTAAGCAAATTCAGACATTCTTTGCTGTTCCATTCACATGTTGCTTGTCAACTTCCTGCTCTAAAATAGCGAGGAATGTTGCTATCAGCATCTAAACATTTATTGCTTCCTTCCCCAGCAGCAAGTGCAATCCACTGACAGGCCTCAAAGTATGGAACCTGCCCCAGAAACTTAGAGCGCCTCAGTAGGTGAATGGCTTTTAATGATTCCACTGCAACACAGACCCTTTTGGTTACAGGAAACGTGCTAATGTAGTTTACTATTATCTTTCACAACAGGAGTTCTCTTCAGGGAAAGAGTGATGTTTATTGTAATACTTGGATCTCATGAGATGTCTTGAGAAAAGTGAATCATTAGGGATCGGAAAGATGTTAAAATCTCTATAGAGGAAGCAATTTGACTGTGACTAGCAGTTACCTGAAAGAATAACTCTTATTGTTATTCCTACTCCATGTAGGATTTTCGCATCTTTTAAAATGATTTTCAGTTTTCCTTCTGGCAGCAATCTCCAAAAATCAGAGAACTTCAGACATCTCAGTGTTAAGTAGTCAAAATCACTACTTGCTTTTAAAAGGTTTGGCTTTATGGTAATACCACACGTATAAGTGGAAACGAAATGCTGTATTCTGCTGCCACATCTTTGTCATGGTGCCAGAACAACCAGCCACAAATTGATTCCACCAGCACTGAAGGAAGTATTATTTATGAAAAAGGAAATTATGTCCAAAGTTTGTGAAAGAGCCTTAACTCAGGATTTCCTGTGCTTTTAGTTTTTGTGTTATTTAGGAATGAGAGTCAGCAACCTTAACACCATCTTAATGCAATTTTGTGTGTGTGCTCTGGAATTTCCCTTGGTTTTTTGGAATGTAAGTGAAATGAAAGCATGAATGCAGATGAAATACAATTGAAAAAAAAAACACTTTTATGTAAGTAAATACCGTCAATTATAAATGTTTACATTTTTACTAATGGAAGAGAGATTAATAGTACCAAATATGTCAAATACATCCTTCCCTACCTGCCAACAAGGAGTTCAACCTCTTTCTGGCATCATCTATGAAGGGAAAAGAGCAGGGAATTTCCTTTAAGAAACCTCTTTGGTCTAGTCCACCACCAGTTTCTATAGAGACAGTATTCTCAAAAATCATCCTCATTTATAGCTATAAATAACTCCCACAGTTCAGTGCAAAAGTGGAGCTTAGCCATAGAATTTATTGGGATTAAGTTGGACATTATTTTGGTGAAATGGAAATCCAAGGTGGATCAAACGTTTCTGTGCAGTTCTCAGTGAGAATTTGTATAGCAATTGGGGATGGAAAAGTCATGCAGAGGCAGCCTGTTAGTGACACCATTTCATTCTGTGAAGGTTGTACCTATTGCTCACATCACAGGGAAGAATATTACTGCACTATGAACGAGGAGTTACATGCTGGACAAAGCGCATTAATAGGAGGACTGGTACGACCTTAACTTCTCTTCCCTGGCTGGTAATGCAGCCCCTGCATAGACCAAGAGTCTTGCACTTCTTTGTTGGTGTTTTTATGGCTTCTGAGTGCTGCAAAGCCATTGGGGTATTTTTCTTTATAATGGCCATATGAGAAAAGAATTGCAGTCTCTATCTTACTGATGGAGAAACAAGTCCCAGAGCAATAAAGAGCTTGATTTTTAACGTACTTTGACTCTTTGTTTAGAACCTTAAAACTGCTTAGATACATAAAGATGTAGGAAGGGCTGCAGGATTGCTTCCCAGTGAGTCAGCTGTGTCAAAGTGTGATCTCTGAGTGAAGCATCCCCCTCTCCCAACTCAGTGCCTTGGTTTCCATGGGAAGGAAAGCTGTGCACACAAGGCATAGAGCCCTGGAATGCAACTGCTCTACAGTCTAGACATGGCTATAGGCACCTACACAGGGATTTTGAATGCACCAGGTGCCTAATTTCTATTGTTCTCTATGGCAAACAGGCACTTAAGTGTCTCTGGAAATCCTACTGACTACTTACTGCATTCTTGAGCAGTCACTTAGAGGCAGAATTGTTAAACATCACAGAAGTAGCCTGTGGCTACCATGCTAACCACTGGGATATTCTTTCTTCTATGCCAATAAAGATTCATTAGAATGAGCTAAATTGATGCAAGTTCCCAGCAGGACTAGACACTTTTCCTGATGGGGCAGAAATGAGATCTGAAACCTCTGTCAGATGTCAGGAGCTGCTGGGGCTTCAAGCAAGGCTTAGGTACCAGGGAATATTTCCACAACAAGGCATTTGGTATTTTTATAAACCTGGCTCTGTTGTACTGTCCTGTCCTGTAAATCTTCATACTGGTGCTAAATACTGATTGGTTTCACCACAACAAAATTATTTAAATTGCTTTGCATATCTACAGCAAAATACCTTCATCGATAAATGCATTAGTGCAAATGAAAAGTTATGGAGGAAATGAAAATACTTAATTGGGGCAATATTAAATTCAATACATATTCTTAATAGTAAACATCATCAATATATGTGGTTAAGTCTGCAGTTTTTAAGTTTTAAATGTGTTAAACTAAAACTAGTTGTGAACAACAGAGAAAAAGAAGACTTTTTTTAGATGCCTCTACTTTTTGTAGATGCAAAAAAAAAATCAGTGGATCTATATTTCAAAATGAATATAATAACCTCTTTTGCCTAGAGTAGCATGGAGTGTTAACATCTCTTGATTTGCTGGAGATTGGAAGTCTCTACTAGATTTCTCTTCCAGCCTTCCTAATGCACAGTGCATCCAAGAAGGTTAAGATACAAAGCTGATATTTGAAATAGTTGTACTACCCTATTAGCAATTTTTTACCAGGACAGAGGGAAGAGTGCCTATGTGGCAAGCAACACTGTAGCATAGAGAAACCCAAAATAGAGTTAAAATAGCTAATTTGAATATGGCAATAATTTTGGTCGTAGCAATATGGGTTAATTCATACTGTTGCTTAGCAGGGAAACATAGCCTTCACGAGCTCCATACCACTGCAGTTTGTTTGCTTCTGGCCTTCAATGTATCTTCTTTAATGCTAGCTTGATAACTGCTTAATTACAAAGTGCAGTTGAGAAAATTTGCAGCACTGGCATCCAAAGGCAGCTGATGTGTCTCCAATTTTCATACCATGTTTTGTAGCCTGAAAAGTTTCCTTTGTTTTGTATAAATTGTGTTTTCACAGGGCACGCACATTCATATGTTTCCTGCAGTATGGTGTAGCTGTCTTGAATGCTGCTTCATTTAGACAGTCATAGTCTTCAGCAACAAAAATAGCTATGACAGGAATGGCCATTTTCATTACTAAATTGGTAACAATATTATTGGTACAGTGTGCTGGGGCAGGCTTAGCTGCCTACCAGGGTTTAATCCAAACCACAAAATTATATGCAAATATTGCAGAAGCCATGGCATGAAAAGCAAAATATCTGGATTAGCATCTTTAGCAACCAGTTATGTGAATGGTAGACACCTTGTTTCCTGAAGATTCATAAATCATGGAATACCACGTTGTAAGGGACCTGAAAGGTCATCTGGTCCAACCTTCCTTGGGAAAAGCAGGGTCTAAACAAGATGTCCCACCATGCTTCCCAGTTGAATCTTAAAAGTGTCCAATGTTGGGAAGTCCACCACTTCCCTGAGAAGGCTATTCCAATCCAACTAATGACAGGTCTCCACTTGGAAAAAGAGTGTGGCCAGTCATCCAGTTCCCCAGCCACGGCACAGACCTCTCATCAAGATCATAACGCATCAGTTTCTTTAGGATGTGGCTGTGGGAAATTGTAGGAAAGCCTTGGAGAAATCCAGGTAGACAATGACCACCACTCACACCACATCCACTGAGAAGGTTACTTTGTCATAGAAGACCATCATGTTTGTCAAGCACAGTTTACCCCTAGTGAATCCATGTTGGCTGTTACCAATCATGCTTCATTTGACCTGTGACAGTCCCCAGGAGGATTTGCTCCATAACCTTCCCAGGACTAAAGCAAGACTGATGAGCCTATAATTTCCTTGGATCTTCCTTTGAGCAAGTGTTGTAGATGGGGGTGACATTTGCCTTCTGCCACTGATTTACACAACTTCTCAAAGTTTATTGTGAGTGGCCTCGCAACAGCACCAGCCATCTCTCTTTTAACACCCTCAGGTGGATATTTTCAGGGCACATCAATCTGTAGGAGTCAAGCTCCTGTAACAGTTCACATACCAGCTCTTCTTCACTGATGATGATGGGTCTGTGTGCA